AGGGTTATGTGGAAAGCCCCCTGAGGATGATCCGAGCGCAACCGATCGAAACGCAGCGGGGATTGTGCGCGTGAGCTGAGATGCGTACACGCGGTTATGTTTTGAAGAGTTTTCGAAGCGTGTATGAAAGGCAGTTGGCCACTGTTTTCACTATTCTTCTTCTTCTTCTTCGTTTTGTTCTTCAGCGTTGATGCTAATCTGCCAGGTTCTTTATCTTACCGACAGCCTGCTCTGGCACGCATATATCTCGTTACAGCGCAAAGGCGAAAAAAGACAAAACAAAAAAGGAAAGGAGGAAATATATAGTCAAACAGAGCTGCCCGGTAAACCGTAGGCAGAGAAAATATATACTGTCACACTGTGAATCGGAGATAGTCAAACAGAGCTGCCCGGTAAACCGTAGGCAGAGAGGGAGAAGAGGACAAATATACATTTATTATATATTATATATTGTCACAAGAGTATCAGAGCGCAAATGCGAACAAAAAGGAAAAAAAAAGAAAAAACAGGAAAAAATGAATTCAAATTTTTATCTTCTTCCTTATAACTCCCCCTGTTCAGAACGAACAGGGGGCAACAAAACAGATCCCAGATGACAAGTCCCACATGCAAGCACCGCCCCAGTCCTACACAGGCCAAACGACGGGACAAGACCAACCAGGATGTCAAAACATTCTTGTCTGCAAAGAAATCAAAAAAAGTCCCAGATACATATCTATACACAGCAGATGGACTTGTTCGACATCAAGAAGTTGGTATTCCTATTCGGCGAAGTCCATCGTAAGCAATTCGATTCGTACCGGGACATCATAAAAAACAATCCTAGATGATGATTCCCACATAAAAGCACCGCCCCCATTGATAGGCCGAACAACGGGAAGTAACCAACTAGGATACCAAAAAGAACCCGGAGGACCGGTATAAAAGGCAATCCCGGATGACGATTCCCACATAAAAGCACCGCCCCCAAATACAGAGGCCGAACAACGGGAAACAACCAACCAGGATGCCAAGACAATAAAAAAAAAAACGGATGACTATATCATCAAACAGAACTGTCCAATGAAACTCCGACGAAACAGCCCCTCGTTTGTTGTCCTGTTCTCCCTCTCTGTCTACGGTTCACAGGGCAGTTCTCTATGACGATATATAATATGATCGAGGAGCCTTCTGAGGGGTCGGTGCAACACCGACGAAACAGTTTGTCACAGCCCCTCCTTTGTTGTCCTCTTCTCCCTCTCTGCCTTCGCGGTTTACCGGGCAGTTCTGTTTGACGATATATATAGAGTTCAGCCTCCTGATGAGTCGGAGAAACTCCGACGAAATAGTCCATCACAGCCATTTGTGGTCCGCTTCTCCATATCTGCCTACGGTTCATATATACGTGGTCAATATATATCGTCACAAAATTATAAGAGCGCCAAAGCGAAAAAAAACAACAAAAGGAAACAAGAAAGATATCAATTCATTTTTTGTCTTCTTACTTACAACTCCCCCTGTTCAAAACCTCTTGCGTACAAGGCCTCCCAGGTAGGTCAATATATATGCGATTCTTTTTTTTTCTTTTTTTTTATATATGCGATTCTTAAATCCCAAGTAAAATTGAATACTTCCTTAGTCAATCAAATGTTAATCGAGGAATCCTCCAATCCCCGACCACTACCGGTAGCTCCGCCCTTCCTCGAATAGAACGCGCGGTCACTGTTGCTCTACCTGGACTGGACTGAGAGTTGCGCCGAATACAGCTATAATGACCGTGCGTTCGAGTGAAAACGCTAATCCCTCACGAACCCCATCGTTCTTTTCATCGCTTGGACACTCGAAATGACAGAGAAAGAGAGAGCAAGAGGGAATGAGAAGAAAAAAAGAGAGCGAGAGAAAGAGGGAGAGACAGCGAGAAGAGGAGAGAGAGACAGAGAGAGAAAAGAGAGAGAGAGAGAGGGAGAGAGAGATCGACGACGAAACGGTGGCAAATATGAAAAAGGCAAACGGGCGTGGCAGACGATGACACCAACCTTAGAACGGAAGGCGGGAGGAGGAGAGAGAGGGGGAGAGAGGAAAGGAAGAGAGGGAGAGAGGGGGAAAGAGGGGGAACGATGGGGAAGAGAGGGGGAAGAGAGGGGGAAGAGAGCGGGTGACCATCGGAAGCAGAAAATTATCAACTCGTTAAAAAAAAAAAACACGTCTCGCAGGGAAATGGTCACTGCGCAATTTTTTCTCCTGCAAAAAATAATAATAATGCTCAGGGCAAAAAACAAAAAGGGTCCTTCGGGACATCCGTTAAAATTGGAACGATACAGAGAAGATTAGCATGGCCCCTGCGCAAGGATGACACGCATAAATCGAGAAATGGTCCAAATTAAAAAAAAAA